CCCGAGGAGAAGGATACACGTTGTTGCAGGAGAGGCGGTAGGTGTTCTCGATGATCCCCTCCTCGTTGACGTCCACAAAGATCTGCTGGCCGCAGACGGCGCAGACGCTGTCGGAGAGGTGCTTGGTGGGCATCCCCGAGGCGCTGTAGAACTGAGCGAGGCAGAGCAGAGGGAGAGCGGTGACAGCGGGAGGGCACACGTCCCACGCCCGCGTCGGCACGGCTAAGCTTTAAGGAGGGCTGGGGTCAGCGCCCGAGGAGTCCAGCCTCAGCCTTTTGAGCTTAAAAACCTCGTTACACATCCGGCTGTGGGAAACAACTACAACAGGACAGGGAGCCGCTCAGTGACGTGGTGGCGCATCGCAGCCCAGCCCCTCTGCCAGCCCCAGAGGCCCCTTCCCTACGCCAGGGATCACCCCCCTTCGCTCCCTGACTGCTGGGCGAGATGTTGGCTGCCTGCCTGCCGAGCAGCGAGGGCAGAGGCCGGGGGCGAAAGCAGGACAAGCTGGAAGTCACAGCTTTGACCCGAGATGACAACCTTGGGCTGGCAGTCAAATACAGCCCAAGCTTCAAGTCCCACAGGTCCCTGAAGCTCAGACGGCTGAAGAGCAAAGCGCAGAGCAGCCACCCCCCACCATTTCCAAGCCTGTTGGCTCAGCAGCGGCCTGACGCAGCACATAGCTCTGGCCCCACGCGCTCCAGGGACAGCCACGAGCCCCAGGTCACTCGTGCTGTGTCCCAGCTCCCACGGCCAGGCTGGGAGACATAGAATCACAGAATATCTCAAGTTGGAAGGGACCCATAAGGATCATGGAGTCCAAGTCCCTGCTCCTCACAGGCCTAGCTAAAACTAACCCATGTGACTAAGAGCATCATCCAGATGCTCCTTGAACTCTGTCAGGCTTGGTGCCATGACCACTTCCCTGGGGAGCCTGTTCCAGCGACCAACCACCAGACTCAGTGAAGAACCTTTTCATAACGTCCAACCTGAACTTTCCCTGACGCAGCTTCCTTCCGTTTTCTCGTGTCCTATCACTGGTCACCAGAGACAGATCAGCAACTTCTCCTCTGCTGCCCCCGAGGAAGTAGACTGCGATGAGGGCACTGAACGAGCCAAGTGACCTCAGCCACTCCTCACAAGTCTTGCCCTCAAGAATTTCACCACTTGCTCACCCTTCTCTGGACACACTCCAATAGTTCAATGTCCTTCGTATATTGAGGCGCCCAAAACCACACACAGCACTGGAGGTGGGGCCGCACCAGAGTGGGGCAGAGTGGGGCAATCGCCTCCCTTGACCAGCTGGTGATGCTCTGCTTGATGCACCCAGGCCACGGCTGGCCCTTTGGCTGCCAGAGCACACTGCTGACTCCAATTCAACATGCCACCAACCCAAACCCCCAGATCTCTTTCCACAGGGCTGCTCTCCAGCCTCTCCTCCCCCAGTTTGTACGTATAACCAGGATTACCCCGTCCCAGGTGGAGAATCAGAGAATCATAGAATCATCCCAGACTGGTTTGGGTGGGCAGGGACCTCCCAGCCCATCCACTCCCACCCCCTGCCATGGGCAGGGACACCCTCCACTAGCCCAGGGTGCCCAAAGCCCCATCCAACCTGGCCTTGAACACTGCCAGGGAGCCAGGGGCAGCCACAGCTTCTCTGGGCACCCTG